GGCGGGAGGGCTACATAACGAGCGGAGGCAGGGCGATTTTGAGAGCTAAGAACCGACCTTGCGCAGTGCCTAGGGTTGCTAAAGGAGCACGGGCCGGGATAGGGTAAGGCCTGGGTGGAACTGCGCTTGCAGCAAGGGCTCCCAGGCTAATTTGTGTTGCCCTTGTAAACAAAGCCTGAAATCTTCCACTTTTCTGACCAAGAATTTTACCGTATAGCCATGATGTTCTAGAGAGCCACGTGGGGGAAAGAAGAGCTGCAGCTCGTATGAGTTCATGAGTTCAGAGCGTGATTTTTGGATGACTCTCTGTTCTGTGATGCTGGGTCTGTAATAACTTGTTTGGAATTTGAAACGGGAGCTAATGCTGAAGACAGCCCTTTTTCTTGTTGTAAGAATGATGGATATTACAAGTTTCTCTTTAAAAAGACCTGTAGTTTTGTGCGTCTAGATGCAGAACCACTTCACGTTTGTTGTTAGATATACAGGACAGAAAGGGGAGCGGAGACATCGATAGAGGAAATGATCTGTCAAAATAAATCTTCTAGAATACCCGCACAGTTCTCTGTTGGAGGCCTCGGCGTCAGTCTGTGACGGCTGAATCGCACCGCTGGCTTGGCTTTGCTGCCTGGCTAGATTTCTGGTCTTGCTGTAACCCAAAACTTAACATTATTCATTTTAATCTTCTAATAACTTGGAAAAGCAGGAACTCTTGTGTCTGGGAATTCAGCAGCAGTGACCTGGAGGGCAGTGAGTCACACCACTTAAGTCCCGAGTACTTGAATCTTGCATCCGTCTTAAATAACGTATTGTTTCCTTAAGGTGAAACCTCAGCTAGAAGAAAAAGAAGGGAAAACCTTTGACGTCTTCACTGCGGTGGAGTTTAAAACTCAGGTGGTTGCTGGAACAAACTACTTCATCAAGGTAGAGGACACTGGGCAATGGGATTTTTTAAATTGTTTGTTTGTTTTCAGTTAGTGTGTAATATTTGGAATGGTGGTTTTTTTTCTTTACTTGCCTACAGCGGGATGCTTATGATCTGGATTTAATAAGAAAAACCCCCCGGCCCATCTCCCTGCCTGTGTTAAGTGGAGATAAGAGTACTTCTCTATTTTCATAATTTTCAGTTATTTTGTGAAACTTGGTTTTGCAAGTAATTACACATCCGTGATGTTGAGCCACTAACGTTGCGTTAAGTGAAGTCCAGATGTGTAAAGATCCGGTGAAGTGTCAGACCCGCTCTGACACTGCCTGTAGTGATGCCACACACAAACCCAAGCGACTGTGATCAAAGCGTTGAAGCGCTGCTTGGGCCAGATGAGATTAGAGCATTTTGCACGTATTTAATATATTAATCACTTCTACGCAACTCGGATTCCCTACCCGTCTGTTCCCTGTCTCAGGCATAGGGAGGACGAATAAGCCTGGAAGGACTGGGTGGTATTTCCACAAAGTCATGACTCCCAGTCTGGTTTAAAAGAGGACCACACCTTCGCGGTGGTGGTTTTTCTTACTGCCTCTCTGCTTCTGCGTCCTCCGAACACGCAAACCTACACCATCCCTCCTGCAGAAGGCTGCTGTGACTCCGCGGAACTCACTGGTTTTCGTGCTTTGCAGGTCCATGTTGGCAACGATGAGTTCGTGCACCTGCGGGTGTTCAGAAGCCTTCCTCACGAGAATCGGCCGCTGAGTCTCCACAGTTACCAGAGCAGCAAGACCAGGCATGATGAACTGGCTTTTTTCTAGCAAGCTTATCATCTTGTGCATTTTCCTAATGGTTTCTTCTGTGCGTTTTCTGTAGGCTGCAAAACGTTGATTCCTGGGCCAACAAAGCAGAAAAGAAAATGTCTTTTTTTAAACTTCATGCTGGAAAAAAAATCAATTCCTTTTATACGATTCCCTTCCCATGCAGTATCGAAATTTGAGAGTCACGTGGGCCTCCTTTCCCCTACGCTAGCACAAACCCAAGTAGCCGCACTGACTTCAGTGCGACTTAACCGGGATGCTGCGGCTGAGCCCTGTCTGCGGACCTCCTCGGCCTGCAAATTGAAAGGGGAGGGACCCTCGGGTATTTACAGCAAGGAGCAGGAGGAAAACCCGAGTCTTTTCTGTGCTGTTTTGCACCTTTGACTATATCTCTCGATTTAAATGGTACTGTGTATTTGATTGGCAAAGACCTGAGGGGAGACTTGAGCTGAAGCGATTTTGAAAGCAAGAGGAGGATTATAGTCGTTTGAAACAAGCATTCCCTTGGTAATCAATCATGTTTACCCCCTTGCAGCAGTAGGGTATAATGTCCAGTAGAGGCTGTCTGAGTTTAAAAAAACCCCACCTTTGCGTATTTTCTCAGTCCTAAGGAAAAGTCCTGGAAAGGAACTAAAGCTGGATGAGCATTTCTGCATTAATAACAATAAATATTTCCCTTGAATTGAGATGGCAGATCGGACTGGTGTTTCACTGTTCTCTTTACTGGTTTTCAATATTGGTTACGTTGCTCAGAGTTTTTTTCCACGTGTGTTTTTTCGTATTCCAGATAACCTTATGTTTAATTCGATCACCTTATGTTTAATTTTTTAATTAGAACTACTTAATTTTAATCTGGTGAGGGACAAGAAAGGCAACAAGAAAGGCATCTGCAGGTATATGGGCAGCAAAAGGAGCGCAGAGGAAAATGTGGGCCCTCTGTGCTCAGTGGAGCAGGGGACCTGGTGGCAGAGGACACGGAAATAGCTGAGGCACGTGGTGCTGCCTTTGTCTCGGCCTTTACTCGCCTTCAGGAATTCGCGGTCCCTAAGATGAGTGGGAAAGGCTGGGGAAAGGAAGACTTCCCTCAGCAGAGCTGGGTCAGGGGAACACTTAAACAAACGGGACTTAGACAGTGCCATGGCACTTGAGGGGATGCACCCGTGGGTGCTTAGGAGCTGGCCAGCGCCGCTGCGAGGCCACACTCGATACCCTGGGAAAGGCCGCGGGCATCAGGGGAGGTCCCCGAGGACTGGAAGAAAAACGTCACTCCTGTGAGACTCTGGAGCACTACAGGCTCATCAGCCTCGCCTCGGTCCCTGCAAAGGCGACGGAGCAAATAATCCTGGAGGCCGTTTCCAAACACGTTCAGGACAAGAAGGTGAGTGAAAGTGGTCAGCATGGATTTACAAAGGGGAAATCGTGCTTAATCGATGTGATTGATAGCCTGCGACGGTGAGGTGAATACCTCGGCGGAGGAGAGCAGAGCTGTGGCTGTTGTTTACCCTGACTTCAGTAAGGCTTTTGATACTGTCTTCCGTAACAACCTCGTAGATGTAGTCCAGCTGGAGGTCAGGCCCCAGCGGGTACCCTGGGGCAAGAGCGGGACCAACGCTGCGTAACAGCGGCCTTCATGCCCTGGATGATGGGACTGAGCGTGCCCGCGGGGGGGCTGCAGGTGAGACGAACCCCAGAGGAGTGGCCGAGAGCCCGGGTGGCTGTGCTGCTGCTCAGAGGGGAGCCAGCAGGCTGGGGAAAGGAGCGGACGGGCACCTCGCAACAAAGGGAGAGGCACAGCGCTGCACCTGGGACGGAATAACGGGTACCGCCCGCGCGGCGGGAAAGCAGCTCTGCGGCGAAGGCGGCCAGCAGCACCCGTGGGTTGCGCTGGGAGGAGCGCTGCCAGCAGGTCCCGAGGCCGTTCTTCCCCCCGCCACTCAGCACCGGCGAGACCGCAGCTGCCGCGCTGGCTCCCGGTACAAGGTAGACACAGATGTACCAGAGACCAGCAAGGGGCTGCTGGGGGAGCGCAGCGACGGGAGCACGGACCTAGAAGGAGAGGCTGGGACAGCTGGGCTTCTTCAGCCCAGTGAAGAGCCAGGCTTGTCTCAGTAGTGCTCAGCGCAGTGGGGGGCAAGAGGCAATAGCCACAAACTGGAATATGTGAATTCTGTGTAAATACAGGGGAAAAAAAAAACAACAACCCCTTTGTTTCCCTCTAACAAGGGTGGTCGAACAGGGGACCAGGTTGCCAGAGAGGTTGAGGAGGCTCCATCGGTGGAGAGCACCAAAATCCTGACTGCAGGTGGTCCTCAGCCACCTGTGTAATTGACCTTGCTTTGAGCAGCTACAAGCGGTCTGTGAGTTGGTTGGTTGTTTTTTTTAATTGGTGTATTTGTTTAAGTATTACTGTTTATGCCCGCTCAGGAAACTTTGTAGCCAAGCTCGGCAATTTGTGTAATTAATTTGGGAGCTGGACAGGGGTGGTTGTTGTGCTCTGAGCTGAGGGGGAACAGCCCCCTTCCAGCTGACACCGCTGCATGTCCTTGGCCACGGACGGCAGAAACACCACCCAGCTTTGAGAGGAGAGGGCATGGTGAACTTAGAAGACTGCTTCATTGCAGGTGGCTGATGCTGCCAAAAAAAAAAAAGGAACGAGCTCCACGGGCCTCCAGCAAAGCACCATCCCTAAGGCAGGCCAGTCGCTCCCTGCTCCAGGGGCTGAATGCTGGGATTCAGCCATCCCGGCTGCGGCAGGGCCCTGTCCTCCCGCGCCTTCTGTGCCTGCCCCCGCCCTTCTCCCGTCCAGTGACGCTGCACTTAGAGGGGGACGCAGTTTGGCTTCTCACCTCCCTGTGCCAGAAATGATCCATCGATCTCGGCCGCTTTCTGAGGAGGGGCCAATAGCTTGTATTTAATGCACGTAGAGCAAACCCAAGCAGCCACCTGCTCAAGTACGTAGCCTGTTAGGCCTGAAGTAGACTCAGGAGGCCCAAGTTTTTGTCTCCGATGCCCGACTGTTTTGGAAAGAGGAGCTGAAATGGGTGTGCTCTGTAAGCAGCTATAGTACCTCAGGTGGCAGAAACAGCCTTGAATAGCATAGCAGAGCCTACTCGCGTTTTAGCCGGGCCAAGGCACGACATGCAGTAGATGAACTTAAGCAAACAGCTTTCCAAACTTATTTTATTTTCATGCATTTACTGAGGCGGGGAGAATCCACACGCGACTTGGAGAAGCGAGGCACCGTTCCTCATCGTCTCTCAGAAGTAGGTCAGAGGATCATCTCTGGTTTTGCCAGTCTGAAAACTGACAAGGCTGGGTTGTTGGTCCTCCTGAGGAAGGCCCTTATACACCCTTAAGTGGACGTAGTCATCATTGCAAACTTGGACCTAGAAGCCAAAACAGCAGGAAAGAAACAACAAAAAAACCTTGATCATGGGTTCAAAGCAGGTTCAAACAAAAGGATGCTCTGTACATACTTGGAAAACCATTTTTGCTCAGGAGCTTAATTTTAGGCGTATCTCCATTTTTTACTTCAGCAGCTCTTAACCCAAGCCTGGATAGTAACCGGTGGCAGAAACTGTCTACACCTGAAGAGAACTGTAATATAAAGCTTCAGACTCATGCGAATGGAAAATGAGCAGGACTGCTTGGGTGCGGAAGCCGCAGGAGGCACAACAGGAGAGAGGAGATCCCAGCACATCAGCTTATTACAGCTTGGGACACTCAGCGTAGGAGACGAGAGACAAGGAGTGACTCTTAGTGGCTCGGGGGTGGGACAAGATGCAGAAACAGCGTCGGCTCCTGGAAGGTACAGACCGATCTATCCACAACCAGCACGTGGTCCTGCAAAGCGACGACACCCTGAAAGCCAGGACCCCTTGTCTTCAGACTTACTGCAAACACCTCAGTGCCTGAACAGAGAACTTGACACGTTTTGGTGCTTGTGGCAGTGAGTGCGAGTGGCTGAAATCATTTTTAGAATAAACCCGCCTCCCCCTCCAGAAAGTCCTCACATAAAGACTTGCTCCGAAGTTGTGCGTGATTTTGTACGTGCGGAGCCAAGCACCACAGGTGCTACACTGACGGCGCGCGGTGCAGAGTATCGAGGGAAAGTTTAATGCCTTCGGCTCTAAGAGGTCTCTGTGTGCTTTCTGGTGGCTGCAACACGGCGCTGCGTTTGTCTTGGGCTGGGTTACATCTCGGCTATAACTCTGCTGGTAAAATACTGGGGATGTGGAAAATTCAGCAGTAGCAAAGAATGAATCTTGTGACAGAGCTCATTCCAGTTAATGCTAAAATGAGTAATTGTTTCCTGTCAACTGTTTCCTTGCAAGATTGGGAAAGAAGAGAGAAATCACCCGTTTTCAGTGTTATAAATGGATTTCTTCCGAGTTCGGTAACATGTCAGTCTTCCTTTCTGAGTAGTTTGCTCACAGGCAGCAGAGGAGTATTTTACATTGCCTAGGTCAGCAATAAGATGGCACTAAGGGAAGAAACGCAGCCGGGGAGGGCTTCTGGCGTTACTGCGGCCTTCCTGTAAACTGGTACTCTGTTACTCAGCACCTTGTCCACAAAGTGAAAGCACATCTCACGGGAGCAAGGGAAGGACAAACATCTTTCACCTAAGACAGACTCAGAGTAGCCTGGTGCCCACAGAGCAGACATAACCGTTGAGAGTTATCTTGAGGAAGGACCTGGGAAAGAAGGTTTGGCAGTGTCTTTTTCCTGGGATCAACTAAGTATGAGAAGCGTGGAGCAAACGCTCATAATGTCTCTCTGCAGAATTACTATCCCCCCAGCCCCAATTTCTTTAATAAAAAGCTCCTGCCCCTTGTCAAGGGAGCACATCCTACCAGGCATCCGTCTGCGCACCTACGGGGTTAAGATGCAGCAGCCGCGTGCAACGTTTGCTCCCCTTCCAGAAAGCCAGCCCGCCCCTACGCAACGCTTTCCGGCCTGCGCTTGCAAAATACGCTCGGCAATTTCTTACGCGTTACTTTACAGGAAGTTGCTCAAAGCCACGGGTAAGGTTTTCTGGTAGGGGATGACCGGTGCTATCAGAAGGCTCCAAATTCAGCATTACCCCTTTTTCCTCTGCAACAGGAAGGGGGGTTTGAAAATACAGCAGGCGGGCTGTACCCCTGCAGCACGACACAGAACCAAAGCATCAACACACGTGCTTGCATGCAAAACAAGTCAGCAGAGTATGAGATGCTCGCATTAAATTTTTTTAGATTTTATTTAAATTTTAATTTAGATTTAAATTAAATTCACACTCTAACTGTCCATCAGATCCTCAGGCTGACTTCGAATTCATCATCATAATCACAACTGGAGGACCCAGAGGGAACGGAAAGCTACTTTGCCTTGAAAGGAGACAGGAGAGCGGGGTTATGACTAGTTTAAATAATTTGAGCTGATAAGACAAGCTGTAGTCGTTGTGTGAGGCGATCCTAAGGAAGTTACCGTGCGCATCTGAAGGAGCACAGCGCGTGTTTTATAAGTTTTTGTATCCCTGTTTTAACAGTAGTGCCAAATGGAGGAATTTCACAAGCATCTGGAGATAGTCCCTAACTCTCTCAGTCACATCAGATGGTTTTCTACTACATTTGCTTTCTTGCTGTAAGCCACTACGCAGGTCACCTATATTGCTTAACTACAAAGCACTCCCTCCTATAGCGTATACAAACCTTAATAAAGTAGTTTATCCCATTAACCACCTGAGTCTTATATGTTATGGCTGTAAAGGTGCCATACGTCCTGTTTTCCTTGCTTTCAAATTGTGGCTTCACCTGTAAAAAGAAAGGGAAAAATGGTTGGCAGGTTCATCTGCAGGCTTTTCCTTCACATCTACCACTCCAATTTCCATCCTTCCAAACACACACCCTTCATGAAAAAAAAAAAAAAAAAAACAACAACCCAGAACGCCCAAAATAATTCAATGTACCCCAAGCCCTCCAGCCCTCTTCCCCAGCGTTGCCTCCAGCATTAAAATCCCGTTGGAACCAGACTCCACAGCTGATTCCCCCCGCCCCAAAAGCCGCCCAGCAAACCATGTGCCACCCAAACAACTGTAACAGTTACAGTGGTCCAGGACTAAACTCTCTACTTCCATCTCCAAAACTGGAAGTATGACCTTTAAATCGGGAGTCAGAAATCAACCCCAGACCTGCGCAAACATCATCCGTCCTTCGCTGCGTAGCAGCTGCAGGTAACGTGGTTCCCAAAGAAACAACGCTCTGCGCTGACAGCATTCAACACGCGTTTATGCACAGTACCCAGCTTAAGCCCTGTGGATCTTAAAATATGCACGGTTCTGATATCTACAGACTTTTCACATACATATTTAAAAAGAGAAAAAAAAAAAAAAAAAAAAAAAAAGGTGTAACAGTTTTTCCTGAAACACACAAAGTGTAGGGCAAGTTCTAAGCTCAGCAGCAATTCCAGCGGTGCTGTCTTCTCGGAGATGAAATAGTTGCGTGATTACTAGGCTGAAAGGCAGAGGAGTAGCGGGGGAGGCGGCTGTGAGCAGCAGTGGAAGCCTGGCCAGGTGCCTGCAGCATCGCCATTTAGGTACCGGTGTTTTACTGTAGTCGTTTGCACCCGATGACACGAATTCCCTACAGAAAGGCAACTGCAGCAAAGGCTCCTCATCATCTCATCTCTCACTCTGCTCTTCTTCCGAACAGCCTCCACGGGGCTTCTGTCCCCAGGACCCGACAGATACACTTTCCACTCGGGAGCTGCTAACTCTGGCAAACCAGGAAGGCTTTAATTTCCAACCCTCTTCCAGCTGGATGGATTTGAGGGCTCCTAGGATGCTCCTAAGTGGCAGCTTTTGGTACATATTATTCCCCTCCCGCAACAAAACAAAACAAAGCCAGTTCTCTCCAGTTTTATGATCTCTCCCAGCCTCTGACCACTCTTTGTTATTTATGGACAGAGCCGTCAGTAAAATCAGGCAGGCAGACAGCTCCTTAATCCTCAGATGGAAAAGTTTAACATTCCTGAGCCTTCATCTAACAGTTCCTTGAACCCCAAACATTCCTCCGTTTTAGGCAACAGCTATAAAACAAGGAGACTGAATAAATAACAACGTTCCCCAGCTCCCTCCGGATGACTACAGGCAAGGCACAGGGGTAAGTAAATAATTACGTCATCCCAAGAGCAGCTAGACCTTGGCCATCCCAGGTGAAGATGCTCTTTGCAACTTCACTCAAACCACATCAGTTGCTTCTCTGCTTAGCAGAGCATGAAATCCCACAGAATTGCATCACGAAAAGGGCAACACCGTTACCTGGCTGGAAGCAGCGCAGGATTGCCCCAGTGACAGGTTTGTCTCCACAAGAATATCTTCCTTAGAGAAAACGATACCAAAGCCTCTGCAGCGGAGCGTGAGCTTTTTCAAAGGACAAGGCAATACTTCCTATTTTTGTTTCCTCAAGCAGGGCCTAGGTTACGCTTTGTGTGGTTGCCAAAGGGGGACAAGCTCGTCTTTCAGAGCCGGGAGGGTGGGAACACAAGATGGGAGACACAAAAGGAGCTTTCCCATGCCATGTTGTTCCCCTCCGGCTCCTCAGGATGCGCTTTACACTCTTTGAAGAGCTGCTGCACTGCAGGGCGTTAGAGGAGCCGCAGAGGTGGTGTTCACACCTTGCTTCCATGACAAGACCACTGTAACCAACCACCACGGCAACTGGCCTCACCCTGCCCGCCCTGTGCCAGGCTCACCTCGCCCCACCGTCACCAGCAGCCCCTGCATCGCAGCCGTGACCCTAGAAAACACCAGATGCCAGCAGAGAACGTGCCGTTTATCTGTCGCCTGGTCCCGGACCTATCCTTTTTTAGCGCATACCACACGGTTTGTCCTATCCACGTCCTTCAGCGAGGAGCTAATTCACCAGGTACAATCTTCTCCCTTCACATACACCGCCTTGAATTTCAGACCAGCAGCCTCAGTGCTGGCACAGTAGAGCTGGCCTTGGAACTACAGGCAAACGTTAACTGAAGGCAGCCAGCGCTCTGCCTGGCTACGGACAAGGATGAGACAGAAAAGCGGTTTGTCTCGGTCTTACCGGTACGCTGCCTATGCAGACTGCTGAGGAAATACTGACTGGCCATCAAGGGGATTCCCATTTCCAGCACGAGCTTCTTCGGTTCAAACACCGGTTCAGTATCAGAGCTTCAAGACTGAGCCCTGTGCACCCAGAGACTTCATCTTTAGTTAAGTTGCAACTCACCTCATCAGCAATATGCTGGACTTCGGGAGTAGCAGGCTTGGCCTCAGATAAGCCCCCAGGCATCATAGTGGCAAGTGACTTCTCTGAAGTGACGAGTGGTTCTGAAGAGGGAAGTGCAGCGCGGTCTGAGCAGAGTCGCCAGGCATCTCGTATATATACATACACACGTGTCATGGAGTCACATGACTTGTAACATATGGAATCTACCATTACTGCACTGGAGGAGGAGAGAAATGGGGAAAACGGGGAAAAAGCAATGTAAAGCACCGATAATATTAATAGTAAACGTAAAAAGCACTTTAAAATCTTGTGTATATAGTCTCCACGTCAATAAGAAAAGCAAACAACAGCCTCCAGCCACCCGCATCTTAAGACAGTTGGTTTGGGCTGAAACTAGAACCTCTTGCCTCCCTGCCCATGTGCAGATGACTGGTCCTGCGCTTAGGAAAGGGATCAGAGTCACACCCAGTATTTCCCAACACCGGGCGAGATCAGAAGCAAGCATGCAGTCATTTCCTTGGTGCAGGTCCTGTTCAACTTGAAATTGCATTGTCTCAATAGCCTTTCCGAGTGGGAAACAGAAGCAGACAGCGTTTTAGTTTCAGTGACTTTACCTCCCTCTGCCTGACCAGAAAGGTGCCAAGGTAAACACCAGAAGGGGAAAAATTAAATCCTAGGTTCAAGTAAGTACTGCAAGTAAGTTATTTCTGCTTCTTTCCTATCAAACCTATAGTTGCACTCAGGCACTCATAGCAACAACCGAATATGCAGTACCATTGACATTTGTATGGAAACTCCAGTGCCAATTTCCCGGCAGACGAAGTACGATCCCTCTCATTCCAGCCGTTGTGTACGCACAGCAGCTGCTCTACTTTCAAGATACTTAAACTACAGGCACTGCTGCAATATGTAACGTGCGGAATATATCGTCAGAAGTATTCATTCTGCAGCTACAGTCATAAACACACGACATATAGTCTTATTCGTGACTATATATGAATGTACAAAGCTCGAAACACATGCAACCTGCGGAGGAAAGGCTAGCAGCCCTGCCTGGTAAGGGAGAGCTAACCCTTCAAGATCACAGAAAAACTTCTTGCCGTCGGTATTCCTGCCATCCCCTCTCCAGCAAATGGGAAGAATGTTGCTCCAGTGCGAGGACCAGGCAATTTTTAGTCCCTAGGGATGGGTTGATGGGAGGGGGTGAAGCGTGAATATGTGCTGCACACAGGCAATGGGCATTTCTGCCGGGATCAGTGTTAGGGAATTCGCTAGAAACAAGCCTGTTCGTGGCCGCAGCAACGGTGACGGTGTAGCACGGGCTTATCGGTGTCCTCACCAGCCTGCTGACCCTCCTCACAGACGGCGAGGGATGCAACAGACTGTAAACAAGTACTTCATATCTAACTTCAAGGCCTGTTCTTGGGATAAAGGACTCGAGATTGAGAAACTGGGGCTGTAAAGGCCCTAAACTCAACCGTACGTATATCAAGGCAAGAGCGTGTTACTGATAAGGGTGTTGCAGAATTCCCCAAACTTGAGCAGCAGTGTTATGGGAGCGGACGAAATGCATTTGAGGAAAAACAGTTGTCCTGAGACAACATCTTTCCGAACACGCAGAAGAATGTTCCCAGTTCTTGGGAATAAAGGGAACGGGAGGTGTTAAAGCTGGAAGTCTGCTATTTTCTCCAAATTCACCGCGCCAGATGAGCAGTTCCTTACAGCCCACTTCGTGGAGTTAATAACAATTCAAGATGATGAGCTCAAACTCCTCCTTCTGCACAAGACCCTGCTGATTCACTCAAACGCTGATACCATCTTCCACCATGCTGCTACCATGCATCTTAGTTAGCTCATCTGTCCCGCTGTGTGACTAACTGGAAGAGCCAGCTCACCTTCCCGAGGCCAGAACGCGTCAGTGCTAAACCAGGACATTTTATAAACGTCTCAGCTCACCAGGATGCAGGTCTCACCGGCTCCCTTGGGAAGCGATGTTGATAAGATCCCCAAGGCAGCACCACCCCTCTGGAGAAGCCTTGATTCTGATGAGTAAGAAATACACTGAGCACAAAGACTGGGAGGGTTAATTTATAATCTTGGGAAAACTCTAGGTGCGAAACTAAAGACGTTAAGGTTGTGTGGGAGTCATTCATTGGACTCCGTATTCCTGGGTTTGCTGGGTTTTGACTTCAAAGCATAAGAACGCTTTTTTTCCCCCAGATGCACACAGTTGTGCAGAAGGGAAGGAAAACCAACGCTAATTGTCAGCAACCTGATGCTAAAGTTTACGCAGGCAAATCAGCCTCTTTTCTTTCCCTGGGAGTGCTAATGGCCATCCCAAAATCCAGTGACGTTTCTAAAATTGGGATGCAGTGCTCATCCTGCACACGTAGTTCATGAAGTCACTTTGAAATGCTGACGTTTCACAGACCTGCTATCAAGGATGATCAGTGGCAACGGACTATCCCAGGCCACTCTCAGCTACGCCTCTCTCTATTAAGCTTTGGATGAAACAGCATTTGGAACATCGCCTTGAAAAGACCCGCCGTCCTGCTGCATCTCTTGCACAACACCACCAAGCTAGCGAGCATCTCCACTTCAGTACTGGAGACGTGTTTGATAGGACATACCGTCCCGGCCTACGCTCACCGTTGGCACAGATGGCAATTTCTCTTCACGTAACCGTACTGCTGTTAGCTTGCAGAATCTGTGCTGGGAGAACAGCGCTAGGATTCTTTATAGTTTTAAAGCTGAGTAACATCTTGCACTAGGTGCTATTCCAATAACGAAGAAACAAATCTTTACAGCTTGCAGGCCGCTACTCTCTGGTCCTGTATAAGCCATTTGAAGAAGCAGAAGCTATAGTCAATAAACACACCGGTACAGTAACAAAACAAAGCAAACAAACAAAAAAACCCCAGACCCCAGGGTTATCTATTTATGAATTATTTTTAAACCAGAAATTAAGCCACCTCTGTGGAAATGATTGTGAAAGCTAAGTCAGCACGTCAGTCTTCTGTTTTCGCAGTGACAAGACACGTAACCGTGACTGGATGAAGTGACACATGATCTGCACCAACGTTTAAGAGCTGACAAAGGAAAGCAGCCCTCCATCCACCAACTGAGGATCTACTCGTCATCGTCACAGTAACAACAGCCTTGACTTTCACCATGCTGGCCTGCAAAGGTTTCCCCTCCCGCTGCCCACCCCGATTTCAAGACTTCAGCAGCACAAAGTCATCATATCCCCGCCTATGCTGAGCCTATGGTGCCAGTAAAGAGCCTCTTCCCCTCGGTCTGCTTCAAGACAACCAAATTCTTTCCTTAAAAAAATTCCGTAAAGAGATTACCTATTCCATCAGACTTGAGCGCCTACAGGCTGCAGAAGGCAACAGCAAGGAGCATCAGAAAAGACCACCTCTTTCTGCTTCACAGAAGGAAACAAGAAGCGCACGCTTGAGAGTGCTTTCCACGGAACCGGGATCTGCCCACCAGTATTCACCATTTCCAAGCAATGGGAAAGCCCCAGTAGAGGGGGAAGCCACCTGCAGGAGATCTGGACTCCGGGCAGGGGCATCAGTTGTGCTTTTTGTTCAAGTGTACTTGCAGAAATAAAGTTAGAACCAGGAAAAGGATGAAATCCTAGTATTTGTGGGGTCTGTTATTTGATTCACATACGACATCAAGCAGCCCAATAATTTGGTGACTACCTTGATGGCAAACTTGAAGCAGGATTCCATCGCAGACTAGGCATGATCCTAGAATGGAGAGGGGTCACGAGACACAGAGATGTTGCCTGCCTTTGGTTAGCACGGCCCACAGCTCCTACCACTGCCATTTACACACCACCACAAAACAGCCCACCTCACAGGCAGATCTTTAGTACTCAAAAAATAGCACAGCCTTTTGCTCCTTCCCTGTGCCCCAAAGCACGGCATGCAATTCCAGTTACTCACCTTAACGTTCCGCTTAAGTTCAACAACAAGATTCAAACAGCCTCCGATCCACGGGATTTGCCGTGTACTGTAAGAGAGATCCCTCTGTGCTCAGAGCAAACCGAACAGAGTAATTCACCTTCTCAGGGCAACCCTCTGTATACAAGCTGCAAACACCCGAAGAAGGGACGTTAGGGACTCAGAAGCCTTCTTGTGGTGTCAGAAGGTTTTCATAGGCAGGTTTGCATAGATCTACTTGTTTGGCCTTATATTCAAATGAAAAATAGTGCTGTGTTGGGGTTTTTTTACATAGTTTTCTCCTAACAAATGCTAAGCTGGGCTACTGCAAAAAAAAAAATAAAATAAAATCTGTGTCTGCATCCCATCCATTTCACAGGTCTTTTTTCACAGCATCTGCTTAAGCGAAGAAGTTTTCCCACAACAGCTGAGCAAACATCTGGATGGACAGAGGAGGACAATGATTAATTCTCATTACAATCTCCAGTTTCTACAGAAATACAATACGAGCTGAAATTTCAAGAGTATTGATGCCAACTCTATACACGCTGGCAGAAGTTTCTATCATACAACTGGCTTAAAAGGAGGATTTGTCCCCGCAGTTGTAGATCCAAGCCCTGGAGAGAACAAGTATTTTAGACACCTGTCTTGGAGGTCAGTATTAGAGTATCGACCGTAAAATCAAAACTAACTGTTCTCAACATCTCATTTGTGGACCATCTCCTGTGGAAACTGGGTTACTGGCAATTCGGCCCCCGCCGTTCTGAGCCCTATTTGATTTCCACTTTGAGGATAAACAATTACAAGACTTTAACAGCTGAAGAACGAGCAGGTTTTCTGCTTTCAGAGTCGCAGAAAAACAATGAGAATACTTCAAGAGCAAGACGAGCGCTCCAACTGGAGTAAAGTTCTGCCTAGAGCAGTTGCAGTACCTTGGGAGAAAAGGGGAAAAAAAACAAAGTTTGAACGTTAGGATTTACATCCTCAAAGACTTATACGATATTTCTGCCTCATTCTCAAAGAAAAGTGAGACTAAATGACTCCGCTGCCTAAAAATAGAGGCCACCAAGTGGTTCGAGTCTCTACTGGACAAACAACTACGAAACAGCTGATGCTGCACAGGTTTTTGCCAGCGTTCAGCAACACAGGTACATTCCTCCCTTTACCTCCCGCCCCCACATATGCACAGCTTTCAAGGATGTGCGAGTGCGGACTCGCTTCAGTGCTGTAACTGGAAGTGTTTGCAAGGTGGGGCCTATATTTTTAAGGCTCTGTTCAAGTTCAACAGTTCTTAAAGACTTATCGCTAAGTAATAAAAACAGCTGGCAACCAAGCGGACCTTGCCATTTGACCGTCAGCCAGTTAGAGTTAATAAAAAATAAAGGTATAATTACAGCAATTCTGCTTTCCTCATGCTTAGCCGCTTTTAAAAGCGGTGCTGCTGCAGGGGCGTCGCATTTAAAGCTTTCTAAACACACCATTGTGGTCAGAATCAACAGGATCCGGTACGCACAGCTACCTTCTCAGTTCAAATGCAAGTCACCTATAGAATTAACTTTAAAGGTTCAGAAGGAGGGAGAAAATAGGGTCACTGGATAGTTAACTATTCCTGAATGAGGTATATCTTCACCTCCAACCCAAAGCGGTTTTAATCGACACCACGTTCCCTATTTAAATCAAAAAAACCCCCCAGAACTCGGCAACACAGAGCAAAGGACAGCACGGGACAGATGCTGCCTGTCAGCCCTGGGGGAGCAACGCCAAACCCGTATCCACATGAACTCTGAACCAATGCTGCTCGCGGGGAGTAGTTCAGAACAACGCTTGCTGATCATTCTGCAATTTTTATTTCCTTTCGGATTTTAGTAGATCATTCGCACAAACACACCGTGTTCCCTGACAGTTTGGCCAGCGCCAGTTCAGGGAGAGACCTGTCCTCCCTGCGCAGAGCTGGTTTTTACTGTTTCTTCCCCTCTAGGACTGCTGGAGCTGTAGAAGTTCAAGAAAGATGCCAGTTTCGCATTCCATTTGAAAATCATTTTAATACTATAAAACTCATTTGTTCGCGTATTTTGTACAAAAGATGAGTTGTTTTCTCTTAATTACAGGAGAATCATTTCAACCTTGAGATTTCAGCTAAGTAGGTCCAAAACAAAACAAGACTGGGTTCTACTGGTTCTGGAGGGTCCCAATACAGCTCACCCAAGGTCTCTTTCCAGTTTGGCTCTCATGGTTATGGACCACCTTGACGGAAAATACCCCACATCATTGACTCTTCGGAGGCTTGTAGTGAATTCGGCAACGCTCATTAAATACCTGAGACACCAAAACAGAAGAGCAAAAGCAAATCAGCCCTCATCCAGGAGACGGTAAGGAGTTCAGAACTAGTTCAGACAACCATCTCTTCACGTGGCACCCCTCTTGAGCTGCCCAGCCCTGCTGTACCAATAAATGGTACTCACCAAGGCATCTGGCTCCATTCACCTTCTCTCCTGGCTGTAGTGAATCCAAAGTTTGCAGCCTGATGCTGGGGGGCTGGACAGCACTAAAAATGTTCTCCCTCAGATAAGGCAGGCTTATAATCCTGGCAGTCTGTTATCCTCAAAGATGATGATGCCCCCTTTTTTTTTTTTTTCTTTTTTTAAAGAAAGAGGGAAATTATCAGTGAAAGGTTCCTGACCGGCTGGGTTCTGTTAAATTCCATCTGACATTCCCATTTGGACACTGTATTCTTCTCTTCCCTAGGCAAATGGATTTTACTTTGTTGTGACAGCTAAAAAGAGGTGCAAGGGCTCTTGGAAGCCACGTTCACCCTTTTGGTTATCTGACCGCAGGCGCTGATGCTGCCAGCCCTCCTACTGCAAAGGGCACGCTGCTCTCGCCTCACTCACCTCCGGCACCTTCGCTGGGTAAAACTTAGCACACAGACCTAGCGACTGAAGGTCATGTTCACGTAGCTTGAACTGCAGGCCCTGCCAAGCAGGCTGCTTACCCTAAGGAGGGCCAATAAATGTGACTATTTAAAGTAAGGCAGCCTGACTCGAAAGCACAACACAGGCTCACACCAAAGTTACAGGTGCTCTCTACAAGCGATTTAGTTATTTATCATTTTGGCTCCAAACTGTGTCCGGTGCGCGTCCTGGAAAGCGACACGAGCACCACCTAGCACCAGGCTGCGGCACTGGCGGTTACTGGTTCCCCCACCAGCACCCCTGCAAGAGCACGTTTTGCCAAGCTGCCCAGAGACTTTTTAGATCCGGATGCCTGCGATCTGCAGGATGTCAAGTTTTGTGAACTCTCCCCCTGGCTTCACAGGCAAAGCGAGGGGTCTTGTAAGTTTGGGAAAGTTATGCATCGCATTTATATAAATACATTATTTCAAACCATATCTTCCTAGAATCTTCTACTTCTACAGCTGATCTCCTTATTCAGAGTTCAGAACCTACGGCAACTTCAGCAAAATGCGGCATGCATTAGTTTTAGCATTGATTCTTAACAATTTTTGAGTCATTTTCAACTTATTTTCCGATTTACTTTAAGAAACAGACACGTATTAGAAACTGCTTCATACTGCAGAAGATGATAGAAGTTGCGATGTAGTTTCCTTCACACGCACGCAGGCAGCCTGTCCCACTACCTCACCACATGCAACGGCCGCCTCTGGAAGAGCCAGGAGTGTGTAAAGGTCTGAGATCAGGTAAGTGACAGAAGGAAGCTGTAGAAATTAAGAGCCACAAAGGGTTCCCATTCAGAAGCATTTTAATGCTAAACAAATTCTGTCCGTTGTCTGTCAAAGACATTTTAAGGGCATATGTGCCTTAAAGGGTACTGGAAAGACGCTCTAGAACACTGTAAGGGTCTCTTGCATCAAACAACACATCAAAAAAAATCGCAGCTTCCAGCTTGCTATCACGCAAGCTTGTAAAGCCTCTTTAACAGTAACTCTGCAGCCCACGGAAGGAAGATCAACCCCACAATCTTCCTAACGCTGCCTCCCGCTTTTAGGATCATCCACCCGCGGATCTCAGCGTGTTACTCAGGCCAACTAACTCCACCGGTCTCCCTGCGAAGTGCTGTTCCCATTTTTCAGACGGGAAAGCGGTGCCTGAGAAACCTTAACGTTCACGTTACTGAGCAGAAGTTTGATTTTGCTGTCTTTTACGTATTAATGCAAACCACTCCAACGACAAGGTCCAGTGGGGAGGTGCTGCACAGAGACTAACGCAAGTGTCTGGTTTTGGAAGTCAACTCCTTGCTTGGTATCAGCCAAACAAAATTCTGCCGCATGCATTTCCATAAAGCAGCATCTTTCTGTACGCCACTATCGCTACAGCTACCCAGAGTAAGCGTTTGAAAAATAACTTTCTGTTTCCTAATCAGATTTTTCCAATCAGTTTTCAGTGGGTTAGGGTTAACGTAAATACGTAAGCGTACTTTCCAACTAAAAGCCTGCAGCAGTAAAAAAGAGCAGAGGGCCTCACCTGCAAACCAATAACCACTTCCAAGTAACAAATTGCATTTGATCCACAACTATGACTGGGTCTAACTCCTTCAGTGAAATACTTTAAAAAGGCAGCTAAATGAGACGTTTATGCCTATATTTAGATGGAGACAATAGCAGAGCTGGAGATAAAACCCAGAAATACTTTTCTCTTCAAGCCCTACTTTAAACACTGGCAGGCTAAGATATCCCTGTATCATGCGTACCTCTATTTATAAACGAAATGTTCTCCATCGTCAGGAAAAAATGGACATTCCTGTCACTAGCAGAAGTTTAATGCAGCTGCAGGAAATCGCTGGCATCGGTGCCAACTTTGGTGCCAACTCAGGGCTTCGGAAAAGAGAGAGCGTGGGGTGGGTCTGCCCCCCACCCCTTTTAAATAAAACTGACGGCAGAGTTGCCATAAAATGTTTGCCACCGGTGGCCTGCAGCATTTTGTTAAGGCTGTGGTGTTGCTTAGTCATATTGAGTTGGCTTTAAATTAATTAAGGGCGTGATTAGCTTTGTCAGAGCGTACAGAGGCAGTACTGACAGCAAAGCATACCTGGAAAAACGCGTAGATGCCCATCTAATCGGCCTGCGTTGAGCTGTATTGTGCTGACTAGACCTCCAAGAATACACAAGCTGTATTGCATTTATGCCGATGCAATCTAGAGGACTAAAATCCTGAAGTAGAGATTAAAAAGGGAGCTGCAGCTAGTACTGGCTACTTGCAAAAAGCCTTTTTTAGGGAGGGAAGGAGGTTCTCTATACAGTACTGAAAGCTCTGAAAAGCTACAACAAATGAGAAAAGGATGCTAGATGTGAAACGCTGCAGCAACAGAATACAGCCACCTCAGAAGTTAAGCTCAATGTTAAGATCGCTTTGTAACAAGACAGCGCCTGGGGCCATCAATCCAGAGGGATCTGCCCCCTCGGCGGACACAGGAGAGCAAGGGCAAGCCTGCCCTCCGCGCCGGCAGAAGCTCCATCAGGAGAAGGTTCAGCTTCTACCGCCCCACCCTCCCCTGGCCTCTGCTTGCTCAGAAGCGCGAGCAGTACCAAACACAGCCGGATTTGCAAGACTCATCCCACTGACATCCTTAGAGGCCCAGCAAAGCTTTTCAGACAGGCCACCATGGAAAAGTCTACAAAGCCCTTAGCCACTGGGCAAGGCGGAGAAAGGGATCTACAGAGGGAGAACTCCACAGTCCTTCCTCCCCCCTAAATCAGCCGCTTTGCTTTCCTTTGCAGTGCAACGGAAAAGCTTTGCTCTCTGCGCCCAGAACCAGGAAAATGACTGATCTGAAACATTTCCCCCAGCACCGCCCTCACCTATTTCTAATTAACCTGCCTCATCAGGCACCGGTCCCCCACCTCCAATGCAGGACTGTCCGTGGCGACAGAACATCACGGCTATTTTAAATGACTGAGTACCTTCCAGCTTCTGTCGTTTACCACTTCTTCAACATTCAGCTCCGACTGCATCAATTTCAACTGCGGAAAGTAACAGATAAAGAGGTTATTGTCAACCAGGCCTCCCCGCAGCCTTCGGTATTTACCACCATTGCAACTTGCCAGATCACAACCCCAGTACCAGGCGCGCGTCCCCTCCGATGGTGCACACTGAAGGCTGGGATGCGCAACCATCCCGAAAGTCCGGCCCTTCCGTTCAGCCAGCGCTCGGGGCAGGCTGAAGCCGGCAGGGCACGGTGAAGGCGGACTCGCAACGCAAGCCTGGCAGAAGTAGTCCCTGATCACTAATGCTCCGTTCTTAAATATCGCCCATCAAGATTTGCTAGCAATTAACTGATCAACGTTAATGGCTCCACAGGCAAAAATAACTATACCTAATTCAAGCTCTCGGCACAGGGAATGCTCCCTACACACGTTCCTAGAGTCATACAGGGAGCCGGCAGCAAAGATAGGACTGAACACACAGATCTCAGGTTCTGGATGTAGAATTAAGATGATAAAGAGATCCCCTCTGCTTCCTTTGCCGTCTGCTCTGTGCACTGACCAAAAAAAAAGGTTTACAAGCACAGATCACGTACGTTCACGCTATCTGAACCTGTAAAGATGTTATGTGATCACAGCAGGACAAATCAGGTTTACGCGGATGCCAACACTCTGGCAAGAACCACCACAACGCGCAGCTCTTGAGCACTCACTCGACCCGTGAGAAATGTAAGAATCTGGTTTGCACCCATTAGAAACTCCAAGAGGCACGTTGAGACAGTTGTGACACATCAGGTGTCCTGTGGTAATCTGACAGACATTACTGAAGCAACAGTAGGAGATGTAAGAACCATCTGCCATTTTTGCTTACGTTTAGGATGTATTTTTGTTGGAGTCTTTAACACAACAGGCTAAGGATCAGAGTTGATCCACTTTAAATCCGTGGTTCCAGTTGGAGAGCTGGTGAAGGGGTGCAAGCTAAGACAGCAATCCCACCAAACCTTCCAAGTAAGATGTCCAGACACACGCAGCTAACGCAGTTGTTGGATCAACTTCTACCTACAATAGGACCCCAAACTGTTTGAAAAAACAAGCCAGCATCAACAGGGTGACGAGATGACCAGGATTAGTCTCTATAAAATACCCACTCAGAAGATCTTTAGCAGCTCCAGGAAAGGTGTTTCCTGCTGGCGGATGTGAATAGATTGCCAGTCATCTGGACTGTCACATTAATGCCTGTGACTCCAAGCCTACGCAAAACTACTATTTTAGCCTTTTCCTTAGCGTTGCAGACCTGAACAGCAACAGAGCGTTACTCAACATGGCTATGCAGGGGCGTTTGTTGTTGTTGTTTTTAAAACATACTCTGATACTTTAGCAAGCCTTACTGATTTGCTTGATAAAGCTAATAATCATTATGCTGTATGTTTTGGACTTCCAGAATTTATTTGGTTGGACATTTTATGACACTTCATTCAAGTAAACTAAGATGATAACAAATTAATACAATAATCAAATGTTTTGGTGTAGGTGGACTAAAAGAATTGGCTGCTGGACTGACACTACTCCCAAGTTTTCTTACTCAGTGACCCAGAAGTCATAATTTTGGATAAAGTCCTCCCGTTTGTACCATTCGCAGGATGAGAGAAATACAAATAACAAGAGAAAACAGATCTGTATTGCAACCAAGGGAATATATATTTGAAATGCATAATCTTAAATATAGGGTATGTTCTCTCAAGATAGCTTATTTGAGTACTAGAAAAAACACAACTCTCACAGAGAACAAAAAAAAAAAAAAAAAAAGGCAGGGGGACACCACCTCATAAAGTACAAGTGCAAATTTGAGGTCAGCTCATGAAAAAGATTTCTGGGATGTTTCCAAATCATGGATTGCTTTTAACATTTGAAATCACCTCCAATGATTAAACATTATCATTGTGAAACTCCTAGCGAGTGATAGGTTTTGGGCTCACTAAGTAAACAGCTTAAAGAATTGGCTCCACAAACAAAACCTGTAGAAAGCACTAAGCTACCATTCTAGTTTTCCAAACTAATATGGATGCTCGTTAGCAGTTCCATAAGCAAGGCTTTAAGAATAAAACCACTCACCTGCCACCTGGTTCTTTAAACCTGAGCTCACGACAGAGCACTGCTCTGAAGAGCACATGAACAAACAGTTCACTCACTCAACGCCTGGGAAAAATCAGATGCTCGAGTTCAAAGCTTCTGCTGAGGAAGCCCTTTAACTGCAACTGCATCAGCATCCAGCTGCTCTTTGAAACAGGGGCTACAACAGGCTCCTCGTGGAAGTGCAGGGGCAAGTGGATTTTGAGGAAGTTCAGCACTGCAACAGGAAAATTCAGGACTGATCTCTTCAAGGCTTCCAGTATTGCAGCAGGGAAAGCTGCACCAGGATCTAGGACACCATATATATATATATATATATGATGACGGAACATCTGGCTGTTACGAGGAAGGCTCACTAAACTGCTGAACACAACAGACACACCTAGGCAGCGTATGCAAGAAACGCAATAAGCAAGCAGTCTTATTTGGTACGCGCTGCAAGCGTGTGGCGTGGGAGAAAACGCGAAGTGATCAGGAGCCATGCAGAGCAGGTCTGGAAGAGAAATCAATGGAAGAGTTCGCATCCCTGCGAGAGTTCGCATCCACTCCTAGAGCTACACATCCTCTCCCCGGCAAAGGAGGCTTTGGAAGGGGGGCAAGAACCTCAGCGGGGTTCCCTTCTCCACTTCTGACGCTCCTAGATCACTGCTGGGGAAGCACACTTTCCATCCAGAGGCCAGAAGGTTGAGAGGGCGTTTGCTCATTGAAATTCCTTACGCAAACCCAGAAGTCTCTCTCACACCATCGCAAGGTATTCAAAAAATTAATCCAAGAAATACTAAACAACAAAAATGTTGGTTAAGTGGAGTTCAAGGTTGCCTGGCAGCTCCTCGTAGAGGACAGGAACTCCAGTTAACACACCGAGTAAGAACGATGCTCCTCAGGGCAATGATGAAAGGGGACGGCTTTAAGGCTGCATAACCGTGTGGTGCGAGAGACACACACAAAAGCCGTATTTTGTTATCTTCTGGTGTTCGCATCTTGGCACCCGTACTCGCCGTTTGCATATATATTAGTTTTACAAGATCTCAAAAAGGCAAAATGAACCTTCAGGCACTTTGAAAGGACTAAGCAAGCTGCAGGTAAGTTGTACGCTAAGTGGTGTTAGTCAGCGATGGCCAGAGGCCACCGCGGGGAAGGACACCTTCTTCTACAGCATTTGTGCAATGGGATCTCAGAAAATGCTCCGCCTGCAGGATAGAAGTGGCTCTGTCTTGTGGGCTAGGGGAAATGGTTCTCACAAAACGAGCCAACAAGAACCCTGGAAAAGACAGCCTGAGCCACGACCCCCGTCAGGTTCTCTCCATCACACCGGTCTTTCCATTTGGGAAGGCTACCCTCTTCTTCCTCGCTACGTGATCTCTAAAAAGCTCCACCACTCACCTTTGTCTGCTCTTTCCTGAGTTGCTTTAATAACGCTACGTCATCCTGGGCCTTTTCCCTCTCTTCTCTGAGAGTTTTCACTATGCTGGAAGTCTGAGCGATGCAGTTTTTGATGATTCTCTCTCTGCTGGTGTGAGCATCCATCAACTAAGTGGGGAGAGAAAGAAAGTCACAACAACTAGTTCAGCAGAGAATAAAAGCCTCGGAGTTACAAGTTTAAGAAAGACTTTCCAAAGTCACGGTACTGCCATGCCTATAGAAATCCCTTCGACTCTATAATCCACGTGTTGGAAGCAACACTGCTTTGAGCAGCAGCTACCAACTTGATCAAAATCCAAAGATACACGCGAGCAGGGGGTGTACTTTGCATACTACTTTGCAAAGTAGCACAAAAGTGTGCTAGCACCCATTTTTAGAAGGAGACTGGGCTAACGCCATCCGCTGAAGCCTGAAGCGCACCCCGAAGGATGGGTACTGCAGAACAAACCGGTTCCCCGCGTGGTTTTAAACCAAAGCGGCCGTTACATGTGCGTGGTTTAGCTGCGTAGAGACGTTGAGCGTGCCAGTTATGGATACATAAAGCACGATATATCAAGGCAGTGGTTCACTTAGAAACTGAGGATGCTCTACTGGCCCCTGCACATAATAAAACATCAGGAAGCGAGCTGGAAGTGGAAGGAGCGCACACTCACAGACTGGTACAGCTCTTTACACGTCTGGCCAGCATCGATCTTCCCCACAAAGGAAGCTGTTGGAATCGTAGTGTTTAATTCATGGACGATTCTGTCATCGATTGTCCTCATCACCCTGAGCAACTCCTGGATTAAAAACAAAATAGAAGTCTTTGCTTATATCTCTGAGAAAAGCTCAGTGCAAAAAATATTGTAAGTCTTTTCATAGAAAGTTACATCGATTGCTTACAAGCAGCAAAAAAACCCCACCCAACAAATAACTTCTGCACGCAGGAGTATGTGCTGCAAACCAGAGAGTTTCCTTAGCAGCACAGGCCGGAGGGCGGGCGGGGGGGAAGCGGCCCAGGCCGGACCGGAGGGAGGGAGGGAAGCGGCCCAGGCCGGACCGGAGGGAGGGAGGGAAGGGGCAACCCGAA